TGTTACTGTTACTGTTACTGTTACTGTTACTGTTACTGTTACTGTTACTGTTATTGTTATTGTTATATCAATCCCACCAGGAAAAAAAAGATGAAATTAAATAAGGCTAACTTTTCTATTACCAGGCAAGAACAACAAAAACAACAACAACAACAACAATAACAACAACAACAACAACAATAACAACAACATCAACATCAGCAACTTGTATTAAGGTATATTGTTTGCATGTCCGAAGCCGTCCGAACACCCGCGTTCTAAATTTGGCCAGTTTACACATTTATAAGGAAATGTGGGCTAGTTAAGGCTGTAATTACTCCAATGTTTCAGTCAGGCGGGTATTTTCTTCGATTCTTTCGTCGTGAGATCGACAGCTGGAGGGTATATGATACCACTCTTAGCGGGTACAACAACAGTAACACATAAGGCTACATTGCTCTCAACAGCAACAAGATCAAAACGGCTGGACAAAAAGAGCAGCGACAACAATAATGAAACAAAAATTAAATACAAAGGTTATGACTGCATACCTCCCCATGGTACAGGATCTTCGAGACCTAAACCGAAGGGGAAAAACACACACACACACATCAATAAATTGACATTTTACTACAGGTTGGTGAAAGAGTTAAACTTTGCGGTGTTGGGTTTCTTTGTGGTATGTTTAAGTTATACTGGCAAAACATAAACAAATACCACATAAACTATAACCGATGGCAAACATTATGGTTCTGGGCAAAGCGCTACCTGTAACTGAATTAACTATCTAACGCAATTTAATCGAACTATTACTCAAGCGGAATCATCCGCATTAGTTCTGGAATGTGTCTTATTTGTCAATGCCTTGAGACAAGAGAAGGGAATGGGTGAGACATGTATATAGTCCTTTTCCCCAGGGTTATACCTCCTCTCAAGGTCTACATGAATTTTCATCCTCCAAGAGAACATTTAGGCAACGCTAGGAAGAAGCAGATTTCCTGCATCAAATACGAATTTGCTATAAAGAACAAAAAAAATGTACGTGAACCATTCTACACAGCGGAAAAATGAATACGCATGCCTCGTTTCTTATTACGCGGAAAGAAATGGGTGCAATGCTATTTTACGTCACTCTCAACAGCAACAAGAGCAAAACAGCTGGCCAACAAAAGCAGCGACATATCTGCAACAAAACAGCAACAAAATGGCTCGTTTGGAAGGCTGAGGTAGTGAGAAGACAGTGGCTGTTTTCTGGTCGAAGACAGTCTCGATCTCCAGGAGGTTTCTTTCGTATATCTTTAATTAAAGCAAAAAGTGGTTTTTAATTTGTTACAGTACCAAATTTCTTGCAAAAACTCGTCCATCCGTGTCGAATTTGTCAGTGATCGTCCAAAGCTTTTCAGAAGTCATTTCCAAAGCGTCTTCGTCCAATTAACGATGCCTTCAGTTCTGATTGGTAAAACTCGTTTCCGTCCATTGATGGTTTGAAATTTGGTGAAAAAGTTGCCTCAATCCTTTTAGCACTGACCATGCGCAGTCATTTTGCCGATGTGTCCATTCGCTCTATTATCATAAGTTTCTGCTAAGGAATTACCCGCTGTGGTCTTATGAAAGCTGTTACAGATTGAAATCCTTAGCAGCCGATCCACCATGCATTGGCTTACCTTTGTCGATCACTTCATCGCTATGCCTCCCTGGATCTTTAGACAAAAACAAATGAATCAGTTTGTTTTCACTACCTAACTCACCTTGAGTATCACCGTGTCTTCGCGGATAGAGTGTCCATCAAAATGATTAACAATACAATCTTCCCAGAAAGTGCTATATTTGACCAATTGTAATCTACGCAGATGTTTTTGCGAGTAAACTTGGGGTGCTGGCGATGGGAGTCAGGGCTAACCAAGGGAGCATTGTTGAAAAAATGCAAACCTTGTTTCTTGGAAACAGTGATAACACCACATTCACATGATCAGTAGTGAAGTTGCTTCCCCCAGATATTTAAACTATTATTCAGTTTATCTATCCAGAGCCTGGAACTCACCGATATTTCCGACTCTTCTAACGGTTTAACCTAAACTAAAGATCACAAAAGGCAGCTAAATATCCAAACGCAATAATTAAAAGAAAGAATCCAGACAGCTTAAACCTATAGTGGCTAAAGAGCGATATAACTTCCATCGAGGTGGGTATGTGCACCATGTCAACGATATTAGGTGATCATAATACTGAGTACGCTCCGTGAATTCCGGTGTTCTGTTCGTTGTACTTTTGGTGAAGAAAAACCTTCAACGCTAATTTCTGCATCTTTAGGAGACAAAATATATTTTACTTTTACTACGTATACGCTATATATAACACGTATAAATCACAGATTAAGCAAAAGAACGTAGAGAAAGGAAATATAAATATGACTTTTCCTGATCACATCAACGCGCAAAAACAAGTCATTTCGCCCAGCCCTCCCTCTGTCTTAGAGCCAGCTGCCTTCAACACAAATCTGACCCACAGCAACGAACTAATCTACATCTACAAAAACGGTTATGCCATATCAACTAAACAGAGTTGTATAAGAAATTATCCGAAAGAAAAATATGTCCAAACCTAAAAGTCACTCTTAAGTTGTGGCGGCTCTCACCTTGAAGAGAAGACCTCCCATAAGCGACCACAAACAAAAGAGCGATGAAACAAAGCTTCAACCACATGATGCTATGAACAAACGATGTTGTGAGTTGTGATGTAACAATTTAGCTCTTCATGTTGTCAGGCCCTTAAAATATGTTACAAACATGGCCAATACGGCATTGGTACATGTAATATCGTTTGAAGAATTGAAAAAAATACTTGAAATAATATAACGGCAGATGCTTCGAGAGATAATCGTTTAGGTAAGGCTTGTTTCTGACTTGAATTTTGTGAAGGCAACTTACAAACGAAACTTAGCTGTTTTGTTGAATGGGCATTCAAAGAAGAAAAATAAATATATAAATAAATAAAGCCAGGGAGATTTCTACCTTTTTTTGATCGTGAACGATATATGCGTGATATAAATCGGAATTTTATATTGATTAAGTTAAGCGATATTCAGTACGTATCTGCTCCGAATATACAGCAGTCGCTTGCTATCTTATCGTGCCGGGGCAGTTTCTGTGTCTCTATGATACCCAGAGCTATTTCGACTGGAGTCTTGCGCTTCTTGTAGGTTCATCCGAGTCCGGCGCAGGATAGGGGTTAGAAATGTAGAGACTAGACAAAGAGTGCCTCCCTGGTCCTCTAGGTTTAAGGTTGGGCGCAGGGCTGAGAGCTTGTCTTGTAAAAAGCTTGCTGTTACACAAGCCGGACGCGTTGGAAACGAACCATCACAACCTGGAGATGTTGCTACTGCCAGTTCATTGGAATGTGACAGTCTACGGTCCAATCACGGCTTCTACTGGCGATACGAGAGGAGTTAATCATGATGATGACGATGATGAAAATTCAGTATAAACATTTCCCCCGAGAATATTGTCTTTTTGCACGATCTAAGTGGGGGTCTTATAGTTCCAAAAATAAACGCTAAGCTAGTGGCTTCAAGTCTCAACGAAGGCAAAATTAATATATTAATTTCCTCGTTGGAAAGCAAACGCGCATTCGCATGCCTCTCGATTTTCTTTAATACCTCTATGATCAATTTTTAGCAAACATATATCCTAATATTTGTTACAGTTTGTGGACACTGCTCAATGGCCGGCATCAGCATCAAGAATGAAGCCATGGTTTGGTCACTTCGGGAGGAATTGATCCCATAACTGCCCGTAACGCTCTTGGACTTGATATTGTCCACTTATAAACCACGCTACAAAGTGTAATCAACTGGACACAGTAAAGTACTTGTATTTTATTTTTCCGACTCTCCACAATTTGCCTTTCCTTAACTAATTAATTCCTGTTTATAAAGCTTGTCGCTTTTTCTATGGGAGAGGTTTCAACGAAAGCACCCCCAAGAGGAACCAGCGAAGTCTTTCAGCTGGTTTAGCTCATAAAAAGGTTGGCAAACACATAAAAATAGGTACCAAATGGTACATGTACGGGATGCAAACTCATTTGCATTAACGGACACGAGCCGATGACAATGGTGCGGGATTCCACAGGTCTCCCACACTAAAAACTGAATTCGACGAGCTTAAACTTAACATGCAGGAACGATTTTGTTATAAGCGCGAGGATCATGCACTTGAAAAACGTTTTACCAGATATGGGACCGTATTGTTTTCTGGTTAACAGATCACTGAGAGGCTACAGCCGTACAGTGTAGGACATATGTTTCTAACCGATAGCCTAACAAGATTTTATTATTTGCTAAACGGATGCTTTATTTTCCTTGATAATGTTTTGTCGGAAAGTTGGAAGAAACTATCTAGGTTAGTTATTCTAAAATAGAGGTCGAACATCCAGCACAACCCATTGCATGATTGTTGCTGTTTATTTAGTCGTGATGAGCATTATATAGTGTTCAAAATATTTTCTACCCTTTTATTTTTTGGAGAATATATCTTATAAAAATATGGAGGCTGAATTTTGGGAAATTTGCGAAGTAATAAAATAAACCCGAGGCTAAAATTTTGAAAAGAATATAGGTTTGGGTGTTGAAAATTTGTACTAATACAATAATGTGTTTTCATAACTGGACCATATAAAATTCTCGCTATCTCTAGACGGCCCAACTAGCCAAAAAATATAAATAATGATAATGATAATGATAATGATATCGATATCGATATCGATAATGATAATGATAATGATAATGATAATGATAATGATAATGATAATGATAATGATAATGATAATGATAATGATAATGATAATGATAATGAT